TTATCCTTAATATAGGACCTAATTAGAGAGTTAATATTGGTCTTAAATATAAGATTATTACTCTGGTTCTTAATATAGAACCTAATTGGAGAGTTAATATGTAGATAAGGTTTTAAACTTTCATTGAAGAAAAGCTTTGACCAGATTGGTAATATGTAGTTTAAAAAAAACCTTACAAATGTTCTATATCGATACAACATCTTAATTATTACGACACTTCTTTATTTAGTTTTCTATAAACAAATTTAATCTTATTTTTTATAAATATATATACACATTAATTATTTATTGATTACATTTTCTTATATATTATTAATTATGTTGATAAGAAATATATTATTAATAAATTTATTTCTTCAAATTAAAATATATCATAAAATATATCTTTTATGTAATTATCATATTAACGTATGCTTTTTTTAGTAATTTATATATATAAAAAGTGTTTTTGATAACAACTATCTAAACACTCTCACTTCTCAAAATTACTTTTTCACAAAATCTATTCTTCACAGAATCTATTCTCTAAACCATGATTTGGTTTCATCCAAACACCCATCAATATATCTGTATTCCTTTGCTCTATATATTTCTTATTAGATTATTTAATTAAAAATAATAATTGACTTTTGATGATAAAAGTATAATTCAAATTTTAAAAAAAATATTTATTATATTATTATTAAAAACTATTTCCAAAAACTTGAATAGGAATATGATTCAATTGAGGTTTGTCCATTCTTTAGTTCCAAAGGATAAGGAGGAGCTCAAGGCTTTCCGAGCAAGCTTCAGAAAGCAGATTCCAATTTTATGTATCTGATCTTTAAGACATGTTTGATCTATTTAAAAAAAAACATAACTATCTATAGCTGATTCTTAAACTGTACATGAAGCCTTTCTTACTGGCTACATCCAAAGCTTCAGAGCATTTTTAGTTTACTTTTTAAATATTCTGACATGGCATTCCAACTAGAACTATAATTCAGAAGCGTCAGTCATAATCAGAATTGAAATGTAAAATAGATCAACAAATAAAACTAGCACATTAATTCAAATAGATGTTACTTGAAGTAATTGGTTGGATTCATTCTAATAAGATACTATATCTAGTGCTTAATATTATCATACCAAAAAATACATTAATCCTCTGATATCTCAGCTTGCATGTATCTGCCTCCTTTGTATGAGTGAAGATGACAATGTCTCCTAATTTTTTTGCGAGTATCTGCCTCCTTTGCATGAGTGAAAATGCCTATATCTACTAATTTTTGTGCAATTGGACAATCTTGCTTGTGAAGAAAGATCACTTTCTTGAACTGTGATTCAGGTGTATGCGCCTAAGTGATCTTATATTATCTAGTCTGTTACAAAGTTGTAAATCAGTTGGTTACTGGTTGTGTTATGACTATCTACTTTGCAATTGTGTTGTCAAACTTGATTACTTGGTTTTTGGTCTCATAGATTCCCAATTAATGTTTGTAACCTAACAGATTTGTGTTGGGCATTGAACGGTTCTTTGACAGAGAAAACAAAGATGCTTTGTTCACCCCAATGCTCTACTAAAGTAATCATTTCTTTTAACTGAAAAGAGTTGAATTGTTATGAATTACGATCTACGATGTCTCCTTTAGTGCCCCTACAAAAAGTTTTCAGCCATTGTGTTGGATCTTATTCTATTGATGTCAATATCCTCAGTCCTTATTGATATAGAGGATTCAGTGGAAGTTCCAAGCAATCCTCACAAGAGAATGGCAAGTCGCTAAGCAGAAATAAAGGGCATCTACCTTCAGAAATTATCTAAGCCACATTCTAAGACCCTCATATGTAGACTTTTAGGCCACCAACTAATTAGGTTATTAACACTTGCAACTAATTAATCACCTTACTAATTCAACTTTCCAACTGTGACTACTAATATTCTAGCATGGCAATTCAAAAGCATCAGTCACAATCAGAATTACAACAAAAAGGGATTAATTAGCATATAAAACTAGAAAACTGTGAGTCGTTCTGTTTTGTTTTAATGATATTATACCTTTTCTGACAAAAAAAAAACATGTTATTACTTGAAGTTGGAATCATCACAAGCGCCTTTTAAATGTCTGGCGAATATTTAATTTGCGCCTCTAACAGAAGACTTTTGATCCCCACTGCCAAAAAAAAAAAGTTCAGTGTAATGATATATGAAAAGTAGTTCTAATATATATATAATAATAGTTTATAGGTTTTAGTTGTTAATGTGTTCTTTCCAATATTAGATTTATATTAATTGATGTTGTCCTGTGAATAAATGCAAGAAATGTATAACTACACATCCTTATGCTATTTTTTAGGATAAGGATGATGCACGCCATTAACTATTTGCAATGGAGCTTTATTTTTTAAGGAAAATTTTAACGGTTACATTCACATTTTCCCATCTTTTCTGATGATATGAGCTTAACAAGTTAGTTGTTATCTGTTATGATGACAAAGCTGAAAACAAAGTAGGCAGATAGTTTTTTTACACAAGCTAAACTAAAGTTCTGTTTGTTTGTGCTAGAAAGTTTGGAGCTGTTTTTGCATCTATACTGGTCTCAATATAATATTCACTGCATTGTACTGCGTTCTCTTTGGATAATAGATATTTTCTATTAATTTAGAGCATTTAATTTCAAGCCTTTGATGGGATTAAGTGGAAAGTTGTCTTAAAAGGCTTAGATTATTGATTAAGATAGAAGTAAACCATCCCTGCATTGTTGCTGAAATTTTCGAACATCAAGAGCTCATTTTTATGTGTGACAATGTGTCATCTTTGTAGTTCAACTCACTCATAAATGCCATATTCTCATTGCCGGCCACAGTGGCTTTGATCGTGGTGGTGTTCCTTGACAACACGCTCAAGGTGGAAAAGTCAAAGAAAGATAGAGGGATGACATGGTGGGCAAAGTTCAGAAAGTTTAATGGAGATAGCAGAAATGAATAGTTCTATACGTTGTGATTTTTTCCACCTACTTGATATTCATAAGAATGAGAAACACAGATATATAAATCTTGAAGTCATGGCAGGTATGATGAGTAATATTCTTTCTTCACAACCATCCCTCCATTTTTTTTAACTTGGTCCCACTTAGGATTACAAAACATTTGGATTCATGCTCTGTAGATTCAATAAAGAGAACATTTGTGTTTCTAGCTTTAGTACCTTTTCAAAACTCTCAACTCTCAAGACTATTTCTAATTTATAGTTACATTCTTTTATGGAACTTTCTTCAAGTGTATCAATCCATGAATGTAAAGAATCCTAGTTGCTTATATATGTTTGCTAAAGTATACTTTATTAGATGAATAAAAAGGGGAGAAAACAGCAGGACTTTGGTTTATAATAGGTGGACTATGAATGATATTTTTATTTTTAAATTAAACACAAGGAAGTTTTGTTATATTCTTTTTATAGTTATCACTTATCACTGTTCCTTGTGAAGGCCGGATGTAATCTAATTCTTGTGTTTTTATAACATAATCTAATTCTATATGATCATGGAATCTAATAATGCTCAAATTAACAATATAAGATATCATATATTTATAAATGAAACATAAAAGAAAATCATAACATACGTTGTTGTTGAAATGTCCAAATATATACAATAATTTAGTTGTAATGTAACTAGCTTATGTCTTGCCTAACAATATTTTTTAAAATTAAGTTGCATGAATGAAAATTATGACAATTAGAGTTATCAAATAAATGGCGGAGCTCACAACTCGAGCTGATGTGTTTGAAATTTCTTAAAACAAAAGATAATAAAGTATACATTAGCAAGACATAAATTAGTTACATTACAACCAGATAACTTATTTATTTTTCAATTTCTGTCTTTGATGAAAAATATTTTAAATTTATCTAATTTTATTAGTGTTGAATTTTTATTCATAAATATTACATAAATGTTCCCTTTAATGATATTTTTCTCTTAAAAATTGTTTTAATTTTATACAAAATGTTGGCAATTGTTGAAAAATTTACAATTATTTACAGTCATCAAATTGATGGACTGGATTATAAAGTTTAGAACCTTCGAAACAGATTCGTTTACAATTTAAAAGTATGTTATCCTTTTTTTTCTTTTTTAATTTGAGAAAGCTCTTTTGGAATGATTTTTTCTTCATCAAAATGAATATAGAATTGTGATTATATTTTTTTAAATAATAATAACTATATTACGAACTTGAAATAGAGAATAAGATAAAAAATCATTGATTGATACAATATTTGAAACAAAATAAGCAGTGGACACAAGAGCCACGCAATTATTGTATTTTGTGTACATTGTTGAATATAATCACATAACTTCAGAGTAAAGTTATATCTACATTTTCATCTATTTTCAACACAATAATACAAATCCAACACATTTTCACAGACATAAAACCCAGTAAAACACATGCAGATAAAGAAACCAATAGAAGATCCAAAGCTCAAATCACTCCTTCATTATCTAACTTTCTAATTTGATCTCCACGGCTGACAAAAGTCAAAAACAATTAATTAGCAGCCTAATCAAAATGGAACATAGACAAAATAAAAACCAATAAACTTATTTATTCTACACAATTTTCAAAATTTTCCTTGGATAATGTGTACTAAACTACAACTAATTATGCTTATAATGATGAGAAATAATGTGTTACTACGAATGCGAAAATGGTGGAAATTCATTATTTTTTAGTTCTATATAATTATTCAACTTCTAATATTACCATAACATGTCACTTATTTAATACGAGTACATTATTATGATTTTGACATGACGACCATTATATAGACAAGGAAAAATTTTTGGGAGTGATTGCAATTTCTTAAAAAACAAATAGAGCGATGTGTGTGTGGGTGTTAAGATAGAATTTTTTTCTTCTAATCAAAGACCTTTTTTTTTTTCCATATAACGATAGAAATTGTAATGCACAAAATTATTTCATTGATTAAATATGATAGTAGTTTGAAATAAAAAGTGTAGCTACCAACCTGATGACGAGGGCTTGTCTTCTAATGGGATTTTTGAGATTTTTGATATGTTTGGACAATCTTCTATTGTTATAGTACCAGAAAGGAGGTTGGATTCATAACCTTCATAAATCTCTCTCAACTTTGGCAAATTACTGAGCTTCAAATAATTTAGTTCAGGAAACAGCCTTTGATGATGATGAGCAGCTACTTCACCTTCATAAGCTTCAACAACCCCCTCCAATTCACAGCAATTCGCTATATATAATTTCTTCAATGAAGGACAATGAGATGCTAGAGAATATGAGAACACCCTTCTCACTTTGTGACAACGAGATATAAAAATGGTCTCAAGTTTGGGGAAGCAACGAGTGGGAGTAGTAGACAGATTCTTAAGTGACTCTTCACAAAATATTCCCTCCCATTCATTGCATCCGTTTACATCAAGTTCCCTCAACTCTGGAAGGCTTGTAACGACAGCAACAGTGAATATATTTCTTAATCTCGGACATTCCAACAGTGTAATCTCTTCAAGTCTATAGAAGCTCAAAATTTGTATGGGATCTTTCCAGATATATTCTAATTCCGGTAGATCTTCTAACCATGTAGAACACAATTCTGACTTTACCGCTCTCATTTTATCATTCTCATGTTTCTGTGAAGTAAATATATTCAATGATTAGATGAAAATTCAACATATGGATTATGTATACACACACATGAACCACATAAATTTAATGGCACTGTAACATTAAAAAGTCAACCCCATTCATTTCACATATTCATAAAACTGTAATAAGATAAGCTCAGTAAGATGAATTTTATTAAGTTAGACTTTTCTTATACATATTATTGATGGTCCAATGTGAAATATATATATAGACACACACACATACACAATGTATGATCTATAAATATGCATCGACGTTGATTTATTTCAAATCAAACAGTCTTGGACAAGTCATACTTTCCATGATAAAGAACCGCTCACAAAAACAAAAAATGATTCGGCAACCAAGCATTAATGGGAACATTGCTAATACTTCAAGTAATTTCCAGCTTGATTTCATGATGAGAAGACTGCTTCATAGACACAAAATATTAAATAAAATGTGAAATGATTATTGCTTTTCGTTAGAATATAGTCTTGCTACTCGTATATATCGTTTCATAGTAAACACAAATTTTCAAATAAATTTAAAAAGTAAACAAGAGGAAAGGAAAAAAGGTCCTGTAAAAAGAATTTTCTCACGTCCAAAGAAAATGAGAAAATATTTCCACTGATTCATTCTTAACAAAAACAACCATGAATAAGTACTTTTTGTAATAAGAAAGAAGTTATTTCTCAATTTTATGTTTGATAAATAATTTAAAAGACATTTATCAATTTTATCCATGAAAAATCACAAATAAAAAAAGGAATAGTGAGAGAAAACACTCACGTGAGAGAAGATCTCTCTCAATTTCGGCAATGACAACAAGCGTAAGTACTTCAGTTTGAGAAGTGGTAGCCGATCCCCATATGATGCTTCTTCAACAAGCCTCTCAAGTTCAGAACAATTTCGAATCAAAGGTTGCTGAGAGATTAAAGCATGCAATTAGACATATTAAATTGAAAGGAAAACATACAAATTTTAATAGCAATAAAAGATGCACACTAACAAAGACCTTTTTAACGTCCACAGAAAATTTAACAAATTGGTAGTTTATAGATATTATATCAACTCCAACTTATTCTAAATAAAATACAGTCCCACATAATTATTCGCTTGACAAAATAAAAATAAAAAATAAAAAAATGTTGTTCAGAAAAATAAAATTAATTATTTGACAAAAAAATTAAAATGAACTAAAGAGATTAAATTTTTTATCAAATTCATATGTGGAAAGATAAATTAAAAAATGCAGCATGCAAATAATATTTTGTAGTACTGAAAATAGAAAAAGAAAAAGAAAAATTTGAGCAGTTTAATCTTTAGTATTATAATGTAAATGCTAAATAAAAATTCTATGAAAAAGAGGTAGGTGAGCGAAAGAAAAATTTTATCAAAATGTTTGAAATCTCTAGACACCAATTTATATTATGCATTATAAGTATTTTCCGAATTGATCATTTAATGGCAAAATAAAAATAATGTACTTTTAAAATTGTGTTAACATAATCTCAACATGCGTTTTACCAGACTCAATCAATTTTTAGAGTAACATGGAAAATGTGTGACTGGCAAATATTGTATATACTTTTTACTACATGATTATGTTAATTCTCTATTATAACAACTATATCACATTTAATAAATAATATATATATATATATCTTTTTTTAACAAGAAGTACACATATTAAATATTTCTTGACCGACAAGAATTATTTGAACAAAAATACTAATATTAACTTAATTTTTAGCAGAAAAAGAAAGAGCCACAAAAAGGTATTTTCTCACATCAAAAAGAAAAGAAAAGCATGGCAAAAAAATTTGAAAGGGAAAAATATTTCTCTTAAAGTATGTGTAGTTTTTATATAATGCATCAACACTAATTTATTTTTGAATAAAAATAACTTTGAATAAGCACTTCCCACAATACATACCTAATAGCAAAAACAAAATGAAAAAGTCATTTACTTGACCAAAATGCAAAATACGAAATGTAAAATGTTACTGCATTTGACAAATAAAAGTTGTTATATATTTTAAAAAAAAGAAAAAGGAAATAATATTTTATTATCATGAAAATAAGGAAAACTCAAAAAATAGTTTCATCGTGCAGCCTGAATATATAGCCAAGAAAATTTAACAAAAGAGTGTCAAGAAAGAAAACTAACTACATAATGAAGAAAGTGCAGCAAAGACTTGCAGGTTGGAAAGCCAAGTGGATCTATTTAGCTGGTAGAACGTCCCTCTATCATCCAATGTTGGTGGAGGTTTGACGATGGTTCAGTCAAAAAAAGGGTTTCAATTGCTTGGTCCTTCTCTTAAGAACTCAACTGGGAAGGCTTCTGCCCACTTAGAATAGAAAGAATAGGAAGACAAACTAAAAAGAAAGATGGACAGAAAAAGAGAGAAACCTTACCCCGAAACAAGGGACTAAGGGCTAGGGGGTATGAGCTTAGGGGTTACGGGAAGACTTCGACGGCTTAGAAAGAGAAAAGGTACTCGCTCACTGGAGCAATAAAGAAAAGAAGCGTACGGCTTCACTAGGCAATGAGCCCGCATACACACGAACTCACTATAAGACTCACTTGCAACAATGGGAGAGACGGAATGCTTAGAAGAATGGAAGAAAAGATTCCAAGAACTACAGTAAGAAGGAAATCGAAATCCAGGGGAGGTCCTATTCCCTCTCTGTAGATTGTAGAAATTTTTATATCAAAAGGACCTCATAGAAATATTGTCTTATTCCTTATCTTGGTGTCAAGATTTCTAAACCGAAGTCTTTGATATCAGACACTGGCTTCTATGCATTTGCAAAGATGTTCAGGGGACCAGGTGTTGACCTGTCACCTATATCTGTTAAAATGATAAGGTCAGCTTGATTTTCAGTAGCTCTAATGCCGGTTATGAAGCAGATTGGTTGCTATTCGATTCGTATTTCTATGTGATTGAGGGGCGCCGGTTATAGAGGGTATTCTTCTAAGCCGACAGACATCAATCCTAATTAGTTTCGTCATATTTTTGTCGCGTACTCACCCAGTGGCATCTGTCCACCACCCATTCAGGTACAATAAAGTGAAGTCAAAAATAAAATAATTACTGTAGAAGTTATGTTTAATGATTATACAAATATATATTATACGATAACAAACAAAAAATTTTCAAATAAAAGGGAGATGTAAATTGAACATGGCTACTTGAGCAAATGCGTCAACATATATATATATATGGATTATTATTATTTCTAATATGCAATGATTCAAGAGAGACATTGCGGATTTGCTGGTCAAAGAAAAAAGAGAGAGAGACATTGCGGATGAGACTTACCTGTGGATGATCTTGCATATCATGAAGTAGTGGATCCCCATGTGCAGCTTCTTCACCAATAAGCCCCTCAAATTCAGAGCAACTGTCTATGTATATGAACTCTAGTGAAGGACAATGAGATGCCAGAGAATAAGATAACAACCATCTCACTTTGTTGCAATTATATATGTTAATCTTCTTAAGTTTGGGGAAGCAAATATTAGAAGAAGAGAGGTTTTTGAGTGATTCTTCACAAAATATTCCCTCCCATTCCTGGCAGTTATCTACTACAAGTCTTCTCAACTCTGGAAGGCTTGCAACAATAGCTAGAGTGAAAATACTTTTCAATTTTGGACAATCTGTTAGTGAAATATCTTCAAGTCTGTGGAGGCTCACAATTTGGGTGGGGCCCTTCCAAATATATTCCAATTCTGGTAGAACATCTAATTTTAATTCACTCAACTCTGAATCCAGCTTTAGAGGTTCTTGGGCTTTAATAGATTCTTCATCATCTTCTATTCTTCCTCTGACTTGGATTTCCATTATACCATTCTTTTTTCCACTCCTTTCAATTTCTAGACTTTTCAACCTTAGAAAAAGGATCAAGGATTGCTCATTTTGCAACTGATTGAACCTTTTTGCTATAACGCCCACATAAGCACTATCATTTTCCTTTCCCTGTAAATGTATTAAAATTAAAATTAAAATTATGAAATGGACTGATTATAACAACTTGCTTTTTACTCTAACTAGATTTGAGATTAAACCTAGTAAGTTTCTTATATTATATATTAATTATTGCCAACTATTGCTAGTAAATAATCCTCTTTAACAAGTAGGCAAATATATGTAATAACAATAAGGACTTCTTACCAAAACTTGAAATGAAAATATAAAAATTTTAATAGCAATAAAAGAGACACGGTAAGAGAGATCTTTTTAAATATCAAAAGAAAATTTAAGAAAAACATTTATCTTAAAATTTGGTATCCTAAATCATTATTTTATTGACAAAAATATAAAACAAAAAATTTAAAGTGCTGTTCGGAAGAATGAGATCAATTTTTTGATAATAAATTAAAATGAGCAAAAGACATTCAAGTTTTTATCAGATTCTTGTGTGGAAAGAAATAAAAAATACAATTTGTAAATAATTTTTTAATACTCCAAAAAGAAAGAGAAAAATACAAGTAGTAGTGTATTTTGGTTATAATACATAATTAGTAGTTAATCTTCCCTTTAACATTATGCAAAGTTCTCCAATTATATATGATTATGCATGTATCCTATATATTTTTAAAATATTATCATTGAGGTGCACTGCAAACTATATTTTATACTGAGGACTAGCAGTAGTACAAAGATATAGAATTTCATTATACAAACATTATTATATAGTTAAAAATCTTTAAGTCAAGAAAGAAACGACACTAATTTATAATATATTAGCTTCTTTAATTACCTTGTACAATTAATATATAGATCGTGATATAAATTATGATTTACCAAACTATTTTATGATAACAAACAACACTTTACTTTCATTTTGAAATCGATATTTTTTTTTGGGCCAAAATTTTGAAATTGATTTCATGTATTTTTTAAATGGTGATAATTAACATAATCTCAACATGTATTTAACAAACGAATATTCTATATTTGTTTTGCTACATGATTACATTCAACCTCTGTTATAACATTTAATTAATATATATATATATAAGTAGACATATTATATATTTCTTGACCAACACAAATATTTATTTGACCCAAAATTGAAATATGAACATACAATTGTTTAAGACAAAGAGAGGCACCGTTAAAAAGTGTTTTTTCACATCCACAGAAAAGCATGGCAGAAAAATCCAAATGAAGAAAGAAAGAATATTTTATATATGGAAAATGCATCAATGCCAATTTATTATAAATAGAACAACTTTGAATAAGTACTTCCCACAATAAATACTTGATGCCAAAAAAAATTTAATAAGAATTAATATGAAAAGTACAAAGCTTGAAGAAGCAATAGTATTTTGTTATCTTGAAAATAAAGCAAAACCCAAAAAGTAGTTTTATCGTGTAGCCTACATACGGAGCTCAGAAAACTTCACAATAAAAAGAGGCTTATACAGTTACAATGAACTCAAGTCAAAAATAAAATGGCTATTATACCTTACTAAAAATATTTTTTAATATATATTATACGATTGTAAACATGGCTATCTATAAATTAAAAAGAACGTAGAGGCAGAATAAATAAAAGAAAAATAACATGACTATTGTTGCCTATTGACAATATATATATATATATATATATTTGATAACACAATATATATATTTTTTTAATGCTTATATATACTGTTCGATCATAAGCACAGATTTTTCAAATTAACGAAAAAGGCAATATCTTCAATTTGTTATCGGAAAAAAAAAAGGTAGAGTGAGCAAAAAGAAAAAAAATCACCTACAAGTGAAATTATTAGCAGTTGCATGATTCTAGTTTTTTTTTTTCCAGCACAACCAAAAGGATATCAAATTTATGCGTGTCAAAAGAGAGAAGCAAAAAAATTCAGTTTAAAAATTAAATGAAAAGATAAATATTTTTCATCAAATGTGTGAATATGGACTATTATTTCTAATATGCAATGATTCAAGAGGAATTTTGCTTCATGGTCAAAAAAAAAAAAGAGGAATTTTGCGAATAATACTTACATATGGATAATATTGCTTATCATGAAGTAGTGGATCCCCATGTGCAGCTTCTTCATCAATGAGCCTCTCAAATTCAGAGCAATTGCTTATAATTATTTCCTTCAGTAAAGGACAATAAGAAGCTAGGGAACAAGACAATAGCCATTTCGCTTTGTCACAACGATAAATACGAAGTTTTCTCAACTTTGGCAGGCTCGTAATGGTGGCATGCGAGAAGATACAGATTCTCAATTCAGGACAACTCCGTATCCATAGCTCTTGTAACATGGGGAGAGAGCAGCCAATAGACGAATCTTGAAACACTTGTTCAAGACTATTCATTTCAAACAATGTTAAAGTGATCAAGCGTGAGAATACTTGTTGTGTTTGAAGAATGTTCACATCAGGGTTCTTGATGATGAATCTTTTCTCTTGACAGCATGATACCACTAAGTGCTTTATCTGAAAATTTGTATCTTTATAATCCCACTCACAGTTATCTAGCCAAAGGTGGTTTGCTCTAAGAATGAGATCTTTCATTGATGCATTCAAAGTAGAGACTCTAAAGCCTTGTATACATAAAGCTCTTAATGCTTCATCACAACCATCCAAATATTGTTGAAAAGAGTCATCCAAATATTCATAAATTAATCTGGAATCATAGATAACATACCTCTTCAAATTTGAAAGAGAGAGAATTTCTGGGATGACAGATTTGTGGTCCCAAAAGTATAATTCTTCAAGCTGCTCACATCTTCCAATTACTTCTAAAGGGCTTTTCTCAATTTGACAACCAAATATATCCAAAAGTTTCAGCATTTTCATATCTACAATTCCAATAGGTAATTCAGCAAATTGAGAACCACGTAAGTCAAGAATCTCCAATCCTTTAAGTTCACCCAAAAGAGATATGTCCCCCAAATTTTTCCCTCTAAGGCATAAGGTGTGAAGATTAGTTAATGATACAATTGATTGTGGAATTGAACAAAAAGTTGGATCCCACCTCCGCAATTCCCACTCAAATCCATGTCTTATGAGTGCCAAGACTTTGAGTGACTCCATTGCTCCAATATCTCGAATGAACTCATATGGTTGAAGTAGTAGAATCTCAAGTTTTGGAAAATGCAATTGTTTAGAGAGCTCGAGATCCTCATCCAAATTCCACAATGACACTGCCTTTGTATCTTCCAAACTTTGGTGGTTACCAATTAACATCTCTGAAATTTCTTGGTTGTCCACCAGAACTTCTTGACATTGCTCCTTTGCAATCCACAAGGCTACATCTCGAACCACATCATGCAATTTTACATGTGCCTGCTTACCGGTATGCATTAACAAAGAAGAATCTAACAATTTCTCAATGTTAGCTAAAACCCTATTCCTTGTTTTCTCCATTGTGTAAATTCTTTCACCAAGCTTAAGAGTCCCTTTGCCAAAACGAATTAAATCCTCTATATGGATTTCATGATCCTCAGGAAACATAGAGCACAATATGAAGAGCGACTTAGCTAGCGGACTCGACAAATTATCATAACTTACTTTGAGAGTTACATAAGGGGTCTTCAAATCATCTTCAATATCCAGTGGTGGGGGATGTCGTAGCCTTTCTAATGTTGATCTCCACGTATGAATACTCTTTTCTTTTAATGTGCTTCCAACTGTTACAATTGCTATAGGCAAACCCTTACACTCATCAACAATCTTCCTTCCGATGCTATCGAACTCATTCGTTGACACACTAGTTGTGTTAGCATGCATCTTGAACAAAGCCCATGTGAAGTTTGAATTTCCTTTGATTGTCGCTTTGGGGTCACTCCAAAAATTAACCGAATTAATGCAATATAGTGCACAACTCGGGTCGTTTCACTTTGAGGAGCCGAAAACGAAATTAAACCCTAGTAAATAAATTCAAGTAACCTAAACTATAAAAAGAGAGATTTTTGATTTTGAAAAGACTGCTAATTAAATACTACGAATCAAATTGAAATAACTGAAGATAAAAGAAATGAAAATGAGACACACAAATAACACTGATAAAAATCAATCCTCCAATTCAACAACGCAGGCAATCATCACTCTAAAAGATGTGGGAGTTAAAAACAATGAATTAAGAATTATAATTAAGCTTTTGATCCAACAACCGAGCCACCTCGAGTTGCCACAAAATATTTTCCTAAAATCCCAACTTACTAACTGCAACCAGAATAGTAAAATGGAATTAAGGATGTCAAAAACCAATGCTTAATTAGAACTCTTAAATCCAAAATAACAGAATTAAAGCTAGCAAGAGACTATATGATCCAAAATTCTAAGCCACCTTAGAAAATCACAATATATTAATTCCAAAATCAATACAAATGTCATAACCACAACATTATAATTGAGATCAAAACTATAAACAGCCCAATGTCAAATGCTAAACAATAATCCAGCCACAATAATTTCCACAGATAATCAGATTAAACAATACAATTATCCCAATAATCAGAAAAATTATCCTAAGACCTAGGAATTATTAAACAATTATTGAGTAGGAAATTAAAGCAACTAAAACTCCCCTTTGATGATATAAGCTCCTGCCATTATTGTTGAATTAGAGAATTGTTAAGCTCTAGCCATGGACTGCCATAAGAAATGCCACAATCAGTATTTTGCAGTCAGCCATGGAAGAACAACAGCGTGAATCCCTTCCTCCGTCGTCAAGCTCGCGCTGTCCAGGTCTCTGTTTCGTTTTATCCTCCTTCGGCGTCTGCGTGTGTAGCTTCCAGCTCTCCTCTGTTCAGCTCGTCCAGCGCCGTCCAGTGTGTGTGTGTTTCCCGTCGAGCGCCCCCTGCCACCAGGAAGGTTCAACGGAGAAGATGATGAGCGGTCCTTCGTGTTGCTCGGCTCCTGTTCGCTGGTTCGTGCGGCGCCTCCGTCTCTCCCCAGCTTCGGCGTGCTCTGCTCTGTTTTCCTTCCGCCGCCAGCACTTGGTTGCACCACTGGTCTGTCTCCGCCGAGCTCCTCAGCTCGCTGGTTGCGCCGAGAGGGGAAGAAGATGAAGACGATGGTGATGAAGGGAGGTTCCTCCTCTGCCGCCGGCTCCCAGCTCCCCTTCGTGCGGCCGCCGCTCCGCTTTTGTTCTTCTGTGTGTGTCTCTCCTCGCCTCGCGTGTGTGTGTGGGGTTTTTTTCAGTCCGCTTCGCTTCCTCGGCTCAGCGTGTGTGCGCTCTGTTTTATTCGGCCGCCAGCACGCTCCTGCTTACCTCCAGCCGCCTCCTTGTATGTGTGTTCGGCGTCTTCGTTTTCAGCTGATGAGGATTATTAGGTTGGGGCAAAACGCAACGTTTTGCCCCAGCTTATTATTATTTATTTTTCTTTTCTTTTAATTTAATTATTTTTCCTTTTTTTTTCTTTTTTATTTATTTATTTATTTATTTTTGAATCTTCCAAGAACCTGCAAGCAAAATTCAAGGATAAGGTAGCATTAATTGTCCTCAAAAATCAATTAATCACAATTAAATCAAAATATGACAATTTTGCCCCTATAAAATAATAATTCAAAATAAAACAAAATAAATCAATTAAGGCAAAAAGGGACCAATTAAGCTGACAAAACTCATATAAAAGATACCAAAATATATAAAAATAATTGAGTTTGTCACCATGCCTCTTCCTCTGTTAAGAGAGACAACTCAATTTTACTCTCACAATCCATAGAGACACATACATCTCGAAGGCGAGTGGTCAACAAGATATGACAACCTCCAGTGGTTGGAATTCCAATATCTTCAAGCTTTAGTTTGCTCCACACATCATCCAGGATTATAAGAATCTTCTTATTTTTCAATCCTTCTGACAGCCTTTGTGCTTTAGTAAGTTGAGTTGGCTCTTGAAGTTGTAAGCCTATTTGCCCTGCTATTTCCTGCTGAATGTTCAGAATATTTAGGGGTTTAGAAACAACTACCATGATGACCTTGTCAAAAAGCTTCAGCTCATCCACTTTCTTGCCCACTTCTTTTGCCCAAGTGGTTTTGCCTGAGCCCCCTATACCATATAGTCCCACCATCTTGTTTTTGCCATTTATAATTGCCTCCAAAAGACGATTATAAGTTGATTTCCTTGAGTTGAAAGCCATAAACTCTTTGGAAGAGAAGTAAGTAATGCCAGGAAGTTGGATCAGTTGGGAAAATGGCTCAAAGCTAGAATTTTGTTTGAGATCTGTCATTTGCTTAGCTTTATTTTCCATTCGTTTTGCTAAAGAATATCTGAGTGACACATTAAAACACTTGTTTGGTCCTCCTTCAAGCTCTTGTTGCAGCTTTTGCACCTCTTCTAGGATTGCATTCACATCGTCCAACCACTTCTTCACGGATGGCATTATTTCTTCAGTTTTTCGATCAGCTTCTTCTTTACGCTTTTTCACGTCTTCTAGTTTTGCCTCCAGCTCTTGTTTTGTTTTCTCAACACCTCCAATGAACTGCTTGAAGCAAAACAAATAAGTAGCTCCTTGTGAAATTGGAGCCACCAAATATTCTGCAAGCTTTGACCCGATTGATATCACAATCTCTGCCATCTGATGCAATAAAACGCAATCACATATACTTACTTAATGTCGCTTTAGTACTAATAATCTCTCATATTATAAATATAAAATCAAGTAAAAAGAGTTCATTCTGCTGTCACATACTTTTGCTGCCAACTAATATAAAATCTAAATAATGACATGAAAATTAACAATGCAGAAAGACGATAACTGAAACTAATTAATTATAAGAGAGTACAAGAAAAAATAGGAATTCTCAAGTTATACCATACCAGAAGATATTATAGACAGCATTGTAAATTAATGATTAACAAATACTCTCTAAAAATGGAGAATTTTTTCTTAAACAAAAATTGAAAGTATTTCCTGCGATTTCCCAAATATTGAGCATCAGAAAGTATAACTTAGGCGCCAGAGTATTGTAACTTCAGATAGTTATAGAAATTATTTAAGCAAAAAAAATCATAAGACGTAGCAAACAACTAAAATGAAAAAAATAAAAAAAAATAAAGCATTTATTCAATTAATTACCTCAAACTGTACAGTCAAATTAGTCTGGAAAGGAAAATGTTTCTCCGAAGCGAGCCTGGAATCAATAAAGAAACAAACAGTGATTCACGTAATTAAGCCTATGGCATTATGGATCTTAAAATTTAGAATTCAATTTCTACAAATATTCATTCTCCTAAATTTATTATTGTGAAGTTCAAAAGAATGAATCGAACAGATTTGCAATTTTTTTATACTGCTCTTTCACCAAACTTCAAATAAAAAGTTGGGAAAATTACCCACAGGTTCCGAAAAAGAAAATTAAACATAGATAGTTTTCAAAATATTTTGTATTTACAACTTTTAATATGAATCAATGATTCGTGGAAGGATGATGATTTGGTTTTCTTCTGAAAATACACTAAAAAAATCTATCAGCTAATAATTAAATATTTATACCGCTGTTTTTTTTTGTTCAATTGATATAAATATCTAAATAAAGATCCACAATACATATTAAATTAATAACGACACCCAAACCCGATAGAAAAAGTAGAAACATCACAATAAAACTAAGAGTTTTTAGATTATTCTTTACTTTAGGTAAAAAAATCGGCCTGGGCGTTCAATCAGAAAACTGGCAAATTGGCCTTCAGTTTGGTCAAGTTTGCTTGTTAGACCCAGTGACAAACGGGTTTAACCAAGTAGCCACCAGGTGGGATGGGTGATTATCCGGTTTAAAATTTTTTACGTCCTAAAAATGCATAAACTGTGAGAAAGGAGAAGATTTACCGAGAAAAGAAGGTAGAGGAAGAGGAAAAATAGAAAGAGAAAACAAACCTTACTGTGAGAGAATTCCTAAACATGCTAGAAAATGAAGTGAAGAAGCATTTTAGCGTGGAAACTAAAACGCATGGAAGAAAGATAAAGGGATGATTCAACATTCAAGGCTTTACCAGGGGAGCTTATTTGTTGTTGAAGCTGTAAGAGAGAAACTGTGAGAGAGAGGGGAGAAACTAGAACAGTAAAAGGTAAGAAGGAAGATGACAGAGATAATGGAATGGATGAAGTATGGACAAATGAAAGAGAAATGAGGAAGGCAAATGCAAATTAGCTGAGAAAGAGAAATGAAGAGCTGTGAAGCGGGTTCCAGGTTTGCTATTTTATTGTGCTTGCTGGTTGTTCGTTGTTCAAAGAAGAAAGAGGAAAACTGCTCATGATGCGTGTCATGGAGAGGAAAATGGGAAGCAGTAACGTGAGAGAGAGAGAGAGAGAGAGAGAGAGAGAGAGAGAGATATGTATTTTAATGAACTGCAGATTTTTGTCTCAACCACCTAAAAATATCAAACATTTAAAGTAGATATGTATTTTAATAATTTTGACTGCTACAATTAAACATTTAAACTGTTGGGAAAAAAATAAACATTTAAACTATTTTCATAGTTTCTTAGATTTTGTTGAGTGATTTTTATTTATAAATGTTGTTATATTTTTT